AGTCATTGCTGCCTGCTCAGGATTTCCAAGTTCAAGGGAATTTTCAAGCTGGAGTTTCATCAAGGGACAACAGTCATCCCCTCAACAGAAATACTATATGAAAGTATTGAAACAGCTGCTTAAAGCTAGTGGAGCCTCGTTTTCACAGTCTCAATTAAGAAACCTAATGCACCGAGGCAAGCAGGTCACTAAGTTGGAAGTTTGAGATCAGCCTGGTCAACATGTTAAAACCCCGTCTCTACTAAAAATACAAGCAGGCGTGTTGATGTATGCCTGTAATCGCAGCTACTCAGGAGGCTGAAGCAGGAGAATCGCTTGAACCTGGGAGACAGAGGTTGCAGTGAGCTGAAATAATACCACTGCACTCCAGCCTGGGCAACAAAGCAAGACTCCAACTCAAAAAAAAAAAAAAAAAAAAAAAAGAGAAAAAGAAAGAAACCTAATGCAAACTATTGTTTCCCATAACCCGTGGTTCCCAGAAGAAGGCACACTAGACCTCGAGCTCTGGGAACAAGTGGGGAGAAATCTTAAACAACATCACGCACAAGTGCTACAGGTCCCAGTAATATCCTTAACCTTATGGGCCTTAGTCAGGGCTTCTTTGGCCCTGCTTGACACAGAAAAGCCTAAAAAGGGACGGGAGGAGGAACCATCACCTACTTTACTGCCTCCTCCTCCTCCCTCAACTCTGCCGTTACCGGGTAAAGATACCAAAGAGGAAACGAATATTTTTCCTGAGCCCCCTCCCCCAATAAATTGGAAAAAAGACAAGGGATACACTACAGTTATGGGACCCTGTCTTAGGCAAGCAGTATTTGAAGGGGAGCTCTTGGCCTGCCTGGTGATGCAAGATCAACAAGGCAATTGGGTGTATGAACCCATTACTTTTGACACGTATAAAGAGATAAGAAAAAGCATTAGAGAAAACAGAGCCACTAGCCCATTTACAAAAGGATTGAGACCATAGCAGACAACTTCCGTATGACCCCATGGACTGGTCAGTGCCACCTAAAACAACTTTAGATGTCAGTCAATTCCTCCTCTAGAAGGCAGAATTTAATAAATTATGTGAACATAAGACCCCTTTCCAATAATGGCCACTGTTGTTACTCCTCTCCAGCCCCTCATGTGGCTCTCTCAAATCCTATTTGGGTAGAACAGTGGCCTTTAAAGAGACAGAAATTACAACAAGCCCATGAATTAGTTGAGGAACAATTAAGAGTTGGCCATATAGAACCATCAAACAGCCCTTGGAATTTACCCATTTTCATCCTTCCCCAAAAGTCTGGTAAAGGGAGACTTTTGCATGACTTACGGGATATCAATGCTAATTTGCAACCTATGTGGCCCCTTCAACAGTGGCTTCCTTTCCCCATGGTGATTCCTTGAGATTGGTCTATAGTCATTATTGACTTAAAAATACTGATTTTAAACTATTCCCCTTGGAGAACCAGACAGAGAAAAATTTGCTTTTACAATACCTGTTATCAATAATGAATGGCCAGCTCACTGATTTCATTGGAAAGTGCTTCCTCAAATAATGCTATACAGTCCTATCATATGTCAGTATCATGTAAATCAGGCTTTGCTCCCCTAATTGCAAGATCATCCATTTTATGGATATCTTACTTACGGCCCCAGTGGAGCCAATACTTTTAAATTTATATGCCTCTGTCAAAAGGAATACACAGTTAAGAGATTTAATCACAATGCTTGACAAACTACAGATGTTCTCTCTTTGGAAATATGTTGGATACTTACTAACTTCCTGGTCAGGGACCTCAAAAAGTTAAATTAAATACTAACAAACATGTTAAATGATTATCAAAAATTCCTGGTTGATATTAACTGGCTTCACCCCACCTTGGGCATTACTACTGATAAATTACAAAACCTGTTTTCTATCCTAAAGAGCAAGGCAACACTGGACTCCTCCAAGTATTTAACCCCTGCTGCAAAAAGCGAAAGTGAGGAAACAGAGGCAAGCTATTTCTTAGCGGCAGCTAGATTGCATAGACCCACGATATTCAGTATAATTGTTTGTTTCTCCTACTAAACATTCCCCGACAGGATTAATAGGACAGATGGCCCCAGGATTACATTTCCTAGAATGGATTTTTTTACTCACATTCTGGGACTAAAACACCCTATGTCCAGCTAATTAGTAAAGTCATCTATACAGGTCACAGACAATGTGATCAATTGCTAGATTATGACCCTGCTGTCTTAAGAGTATCCTTAAGTAAAAAACAATTAGAAGCATTCCTTCCCCTTTTTCTAGACCTTCAGAGAGCACTCTCTAATATTGCAGGTCATATAGAATATACCCTTCCTACTTATCTCATACTCTTGTAGTTATGCCTACAAAGGCAGTTCACTCCCGCATACCTAACACTTTTACGCTTTTTATGACTCTGATAAAAATGGAAAAGTAGCTATCTGGTGGGAACTTCATAACTCCCTCACTCAATCTAGATTCACTAGGACTCAGAGAGCCGAGGTTGGAGCCCTAATATTGGCCCTAGAAACACCTTTTCCACTCAGCCTATCAATATTGTTAGTGACTTGGCTTACTCTATTTATGGCAGAACCTTGAGACAGCCCGCATTAAGTCCACTCTCGAGCCCACCCTGTGCACACTTTCTCAACTTCAGCAATTGCTGGATCAACACACACATCCTAGTTTTATCACACACATTCGGGCCCACAGCTCACTGCCTGGCCCACTAGTGCATGGCAATGATCAAGCAAACATGCAGGTTATGACATCACTTCTTGACAAAGCCACCCAATCATCACATGAATTTTTCCACCAGAACTAGAGAAACTTAACAAAACAATTTCAACTTACCCAAAGATTAACTAAACAAATCATTTTACAATGCCCAGATTGCCAGCTCACAGGTATGTCCCCTCCTTCAACAAGTGTTAACCCTAGAGGACTAGAACCTCATCAGTTATGGAAAACAGATGTTATGCACATCCCTGAATCTGGAAAACTAAGATATGTACATGTATCCATTGATACCTATTCCCAACTAATTAGCACTCACGCTCTTCCTGGAGAGTCCACCTGATATGTCATTAAATATCTTCTCTTAACTTTTGCATTTATGGGGTGGCCCACAAAAATTAAACTGATATGGCTCAGCTTATGCCAGCTCACAATTTCAACAACTTTGTCACACATGGAACATCTAACATTCCACAGGCATTATGTAAAAACCCCAAAGACAGGCCATAGGAGAACACACACACTCCACCCTTAAAAATATGCTCAGAAAACAAAAAAGGGGCAATAAGAGCCCTGCAACACTATTGGTACAAGACTTATTTACCCATAATTTTTAAAATTTAGATGATAAATTTCAATCAGCCATAGAGAAGCATTTTGCAAATGCCCCTCAAGACATAAAACCTGTGGTTTTATTAAAAGATGTAAATAGTAATGTATGGTGCAGTCGAAATGATTTGTTAATGGGGAAGAGGACATGTTTGTGTTCGCACCTCCTCAGGTCCTCTTTGGATTCCAGCGCAATGCATCAAACCATACCATAGTGTGGCTAGGACCCAACCCAGTACCAGAAATGAAGGAAATGATCCTACAGGACCCATAGCCCCGGACATGACCTTGGGGATGCTGAAGAACACAACTCAGGAGGCTGAGCAAATCCTGCTCCAAACACAAACACCATTCACTCTAGATAATATGTTCCTTGCTATGCTTTCTGTTGTACATTGTGACTCTCTTAGGGTATTAACCTTTCTTATTCTCACACTGCCTGCAACCTGCACCTGCTATACTCTATTGTGTCCATCTTTGGGATCCACCTTTCTTCTGCCCTGTTACTTTGAGTGGACACCTCCTTCCCAGCCCCTAACAATGTGACTGCTTGGCTAGAAAGGACTGACATGCCCCTGGTGGGGTCCCTCAGTCATGGCACAAATTGGGCTAAGGTGCCAAGTCATGCTACATATCACTCCTTCATTAGGAAAGAATGACACTAATTATACTCACATTTGTCTTACGTTATTTACTAATTCTAGGATGCAAAGTCAGAACAAGAGCTCTAACTGCTGCACCTGACAAACACTGTTGCAGCACACATCTGTACTCTTCAACAAAACCTGATTCAAAAAAACAGAAAAAGGGAAGATGTAGGAGATTGGTCAGGGTGGTGGGAGAAGCAATAGGAAAACGTGCAAATCTTCTTGAAAGGTCAGAAGGTTTTGCAAAGCTTTGGGGAAGAATAAGCTGAAGGCAGCTGTTCTCTTACCCTGAGGCAAAGAGCGAGGAGTAGGTACCAGGGAATGTAGGGGAATTTATCTAAATAGGCTTGTTTGCTTATATTGTCCAGAAAGTGACCTTTAATCATCCACATGTGAGACTGCTCCCTGCAAGGGGGGACGACAATGTTAATTACCAATAGACTGTATTTGCTCCAGGCTTTCAGCATGTCTGTACTGAATAAAAGCAAGCAGTGCCAGCTTATCGAGACTGTTCACTCTGCAGGCGGTCCCCTAGCACTCTTTCACTGCATGCCTGAGTACTCCTTTCATCCATCACTGGGCCACAGTCTGAGGGACACGCTCAGCAGGATAAAAGAATAAAACTTGAGTATTTCATGCATGAGAAATAATATGCACAAAGATGAGGAGACATAAATAATGTTGGGGGGAATCTGAACAAAACAATTTAACTACAGCAAATTTGCTGAAACAAATCAGTAAGGTCAGAGTGGTAATACACAAGAGTCTTGCCAAGACCAGTCACTCTGGCTTCTGCATAAAAGACAAAGACAGGAGAGGTTAAAAGTTGAAATAGCTATTTGAAAATGAATGAACTAGTCCCAGTGAAGGTATTGAAGGGTGGATAAAAGTTGCTACATTGTGAGAAAAACTGTTACATAGAATTGTCTGATCTAGGGTAAGGACAATGCAGAATACACTGGGAAGATAAAAAATTAAGTTTTTTTTTTTGTTTGTTTTTTTGGTCCAAACCAAAACAGGAAAACAATCTTAGGGACATATGATGTACAAAGAAAAAAAGAAAAGAAAATGGGAAAATAATAACTTCAAATATCATAGGAAAAATTTCTAACAATATGCTCTACAAGGTGTTCAGGTTTAGGCCTCAATTTATCCCAATCACTTTATGATAGGCACTGTAATCCAATACGACATTCAATTAGGCATGAAATATCCAATTTATACATCTAATAGGAAGACACACAGTCTTGCACTTTTGAAGAAACTTCAAGTGCTCAGAAATTATCCACTGTATTGGCCTTTTGCTTTCTTTTTGTCTCCTTTCATGCTACTTGACTTTTTACAAGTTCACTTCTGGATAGCAGTTCTACCAAAAAGGTTCTGAGATACGGAGAGTGATGGATGGGACAGAAAAAAATGAAACAAAAATTCAAATCTACAAGAGCAATTCTATGTATTTAAAACACAGGAATAAACAGGGAACCTTGTCATGATTTATCTTCGGGCAACATTTTGGTATAACCACATATAATTTAACAACACAGTATACACCATTAAATACTAAACAATACAAAAATCCCACAATTATACATTTTAACAAGAACATAACTATAATGACATATACTCAAAACAAACCCAAGAAAACAGTGTTCCTTAATTTGGTCAGAAATCTCTATTGTTGGAGAAAAAACTGAAAATAAAGTTCTTATTGATAGTGAAGACAATACAGTTCAGTCTTGAATCTTCATATTGGTGACAACATTGTCCCTTGATCTCAAATAGTTTTTGAAATTAGGCTTTTAAATTTTTATATTTTCATACTCAAAGATCTGAAACATCTTATTAAAATTTCTTAATTTCTTCTATTTTCTTAATATATCTAAAATAATAAGAGCAAAGGATTGATAAAAATTTTATATTCACAATGCAGCTTTTAAAATCTCATGTTCTCATTTGTTTTAAATTCTCAACTTAGCAGTCTCCATACTGTTATCCTGCTCTTTTCCCCTGGAATCCTAAAAAGGACCCTGAGATATAAAGCTTGTAATTAAATCTCTTATTTAGAGAATGTCTTGAATAGTTATCAGTTTAGATTTTATTTTTCTCTGTTGACTCTCCTAGATATTTCTTATAAAAATGTAGGAAGGAATCATTTTGCTAAAATTAATTCCTTTATTAGATAAAGGATTAAACCTCTCCATACTTAAAACGAGAAAACAATGTTCCTTTCATAAGCATAATCAAGTTTCTTAAAATTTGGCTGTAAGATTTTAGAACAGGCTTATCTCATTTAGTATTGGAGATATGTCATGTTCTCACAGATAGAAGCACTAACCAAATAGGTGCTTTTCAGTCATTATAATTTCCTGGCATAGTATATGTTATGTATGATCAACATATAATTAACATACAATTAGAAGTTACCACCTGATGCCTTTATATTCTCTGCCTTCTTCAGAACTTGTCTAATAGAGGAGTTTGCTAGGCCTAGAACATAACCCACCCAGACCTACCTGATGTTTACCATATAAAATCTGTATTTTTAATAGCCAGGTATACTTTAATCTTCAAAGTAGTTCCTTGTTTGATTATGCAGGCTATTTTCTATGAAGCAGACTATAATCAGAAAACAATGTCAGTGGCAAAAATATCTCCACAGGGCAAACAAAACAAACCTCTTGGTAACTGCCTCTCAAACTGGCCATAGCAGTGTGGTGAAACACTCACTGGCAAAAACAAACAAACAAACAAAAAACCCACAGGGCTCACTGTAGAGTTTGACATGTCACTTCTAACAAATATATTAAATGATGCTTTAATAGTTTGGAAAAAATGTTTTGACACAATGTGCTTAGAAATTCCTATTTGACAATACATCTACTGAGCAAAAATGCTATCATCTGAGTGAAGTGTCAATTTGTAGTAGTTATATATATTCATAGTATTCTTTATCAGGCTGTAATGTACTATATTAGTTACACTCTATGACTTAATTCTAAGGATTAGTAAGTGCTTGATAAAAACTGAAAAATTGTAGAGCTTTGTTCAGTTCCAGCTAGAGACAAACTTAAGACTACAGATTGTGTTAGAGAAAGCACAACTCTTACAAAATAGCTCTAAAATAATAGGTGCTTTCTGATTTTCCATATTCATTTTAAGTTTAGTTACCAAATTTCATAAAGCAATTGGTCATTAAGTCATAATTTTCACTAGTTTGAGCTAATCCCAAAATTAAAATCTGGTAAACAATCTAATATCAAAATATCAAATTCTTAAATATACCCCCAAAAAGGTTTTGGAAACTGTTAACCATTAAGATTATCTTATATATAATCAAAGTACTAATTAAATGAGAAGATTCTCTTGAATGTCACAGCATAGAATTCCTTTTAACACAATATCGCTCCACTATTTGTAATTTTTCAAATACAATGTATCTTAAATATTAAATTTATGAAAACTTAAAAGCAACAGACTTCCATATAGATGAGATATACAATAACAATTTTGATATTCCTTTAAGCTGTTTAAAAGTGACGCTAACTATAACCAAAAAAAAAGTCTATTTAACGTAAGAGATTTTGGATAAAAACCAGGAAGTTTCTTAATGATCCTGAACCAGATAATAAAATGTTAAGGATGCTGAAGAAGGTTAAAATCCACACAGGTTTCAAGAACAGAAGTCATCCATCTTTAAATATTAGACATTCGCTGGCCAGAAGACAAAAGTAAGACTTTAGGATATATTGTGGGTCTTTGGAGCTCACATTCTAATATGTTGGCACAAAATAAAAATAGGTCACAAAACCTATGGGTATTTTCAAGTTCAGTGTTTCAGAAATATATAATCATTGAACCAATTACAAAATAATATATGGCTTATATTTACTTTGTCAGTTTATGTAATAGAAAAAAAATATTTGTTCTGTGGTGACTATTTATTTTGGTGACAGTTTCATTTTCCTCTTCACGTTTTCGGTGACTCTTTTCCATTAGCATCATCAACCAGGTCTCTCAGGCGAGATAAATGGTGCAAAGCCCTTCATCAAAAAGTATAAAACACATTATAAACCAAGTATTAAGAACTAAATAGCCAATGCAGATAGCAAAAAAAAAAAAAAAAAAAAAAAAAAGATGGTGATTATGGTGATTACTTTATTCAAAACTGGTAAGAGTTATTCCTTATCAAACCTTGAGATCTGAATAACTGAGGGTTAAAATAATTTATCTAAAGTTCTATAAACACTTACTTTAAAAATTATACTATTTGACATTAACCTTTTTAAGATAATCTCCCAAGTGGCCTAACAAGAAACAATAGGTATCATTTGTATCACTTAACAAAAACACTTTTTTCAAGTAATTTTTATTACAGCTCTGTGAAATGATACCTTTTCTTTAGGTATCCTGCATATATTAGTTAAGAAGTAAAACACAGAAATAACTTTTAACATTTACATTTCAAGATAGCTTTTTTTTAAATAACATTTAAGGATTAGTTACAAATCTAAACAAAACTCATTTTTATTGAGTGTGGGGGAAGCTGCTGACTACTCCAGTAAGTCTGTATAAAGAAAATAAAATTAAATTAAAAAAATAAAAGTTGTGCAATAACTTCCAGTGTTAGTAATTTCCATTTATGGTGAGTTTGGAAAGGTAATGACTACAAAAGTCTATTCTATAGTCTCTTATACACAGTAATTGTTCAATAAATGTATAATAAACTACATGTTCAACTTTACCCAGGACAAGGAGAGGGAAGGAAACTAGTAGTATTAATTACTGCATATATATCTATTTCTCTGTACTATACACTTCTTGGACACTTTTACTCAAATGTAATAAGAAGACTCTCAATTTTCCCACCTTTTTTGGCAACCTCAGTTAATTTTTGAGATTCTCACCTTCATTGACTAAGTAACAATAATTCAACCCAAAGTTACTAAGCAATGAGAGGTAAAATAACTCAAATTTTACAAGACTCAGCTGGGCATGGTGGCTCACGCCTGTAATCCCAGCATTCTGGCAGGCTGAGGCAGGTGGATCACCTGAGGTCAGGAGTTCAAGATCAGCCTGGGCAAAACCCCATCTCTACTAAAAATACAAAAATTAGACAGGTTGTGGTGGCACGCGCCTGTAATACCAGCTCCAATAAGTCTTCCTAGAGAGCAGATATTCCTCATTGAAGAATATAAGAAAACTGAGTATTTAAGGGAGTAAACAAAGGCCAGACTAAGAGCTTAGAGTATGCTATGGCTAATGAAAAATATCTTAAAACTGGTTAGCCACCCAAATTATTAAAAACAAAAACTGTTATTTGAGGAACGTAAAGAGACATAATAGGACTTTTACCTTAGGAAAGGCCATTAAAGCCTACAAAGTATAATCAGTAACTTTTAAAATATTTTAGAAATATTTTAGAAATTTTGAAATACATTTGAAATATCTGAAGTATGAAAAGATGACCACATACCTAAACCGGAATATTTTGCAGCCTGGAAAAAGGAATTCTGAGACTGAACTAAATTTAAAGTGTCCTTAAAACAGTTAATCTACAGAATGAAAGTAACTTTTGTTAAGTCTAAGCTTACTTCATTACAGTACAAACATCTTTCTGATAATACTTTTGAAATGTAAAGACAAATTAAGACTGCTCAGTTAATCCAACAGGATTAATAACTAAAGGCCATCTAACAAAATGTAAACTTTCTCTAAAAATGAAACTCCATATACAGGTAAGACTACTGATTGTTTATAGTAGAAAAAAAAAGTTACTATTAAAAAAAATTTGACCAAATGGTAAAAGCACTTACAGATCAATATTGATTTTTGTGGTGATTTAATAACTTGTAATCCAGCGTTTTTTCACCAAGAAAAACATCTAGGGTATGTACATTAACTCAGAAAACATATTTAGGTCTGTGACAAGTTTAGTATCAATGCTATAAAGAGCAATGGAAAATTTACGGTCATTCACCTCAAATTTTAAAGCAAAATGAAGTCTTCATACTAGATGATCAACTGAGGCCCTGCACTTAGTCTCAATGAGTAATTCGCCACTATCATTAATGAGAGGAGTGTTTAAAATGCAGACTTTCAAATCAGACTGCCTGCTTTGAATCCCACTTCTTACCAGCTATGTATCAGTGGGCAAGGTACTTTACTACTGCATGCCTTTTCTCTAATCTGTATTATGAAGATAATAATAGTATTTGCCTCATAGGGTTGTGATGATCACATGAATTATATTCAATAGCACTTAGAATACTGACATTTGCTAGTTATTACTATTATTCACTGAATTCTACTAGGTATGGAACATTATACCCCAGTACTATGGCAAGCTACAAACAAGGGTGCATTATTTATACCCTGAAAATAATGAATTAAGTAGAGAGAAAGAAGTTATCATGCATGATATATTTTGACCATGAAAACTATATATGTATTTATGACAATTAGATTCATAAGTTTACATGTCTAATGTTTTATTTTTCTAGCAGTTCATTTGATCACAGAAGACTAAGCAAATTCTCTAAGTACAAAAGGTAGCTTGCCAAGGGATATGGTGTTATTAGAGTAGAAACTTTTAATCTCAGTATTTCCTAAGCAAAGCATTCCATCTTCTGAGGACACTTCATAGTCATACAACAAACTCCAAAATAAATACCCTTCTCTTCTGTCAATATCATGACTATAGAAACAACTTGTATTTTTCTCCATTTTATTATTTAAGACAATGTGACTAAAAAAATTAGAACTATTTTTATATCCAGGTCATTATACCTACTTTAGATTTCTGTAGTAATGTTCCAAATAATGATCCATTTATTATTATATTTATTCTGGAGAGAATATATGAAAACACATTTCATAACAAGTTACTGTTATAGGATACTCACACAAATACTACCATAAATTGTTGCTATTTATACTCAAAATGAGTGATTCATATCCATTGTATTTTAGGGCTCTAAGGCTATCTCATTAGGTCCTTAGAACATTTAGAATAGGAGAAAGCACAAGTTTAAAAGAAAACTGTTTTTCAGTGTGATTAAATAGTATGCTCCAAGAGGCTTAAACATGCCTAGCAGTGCTACTCTTAAAACTACTTATTTCTACCCTGTAACTTTGATTTGAGTCAAAGGAATGGCTAAGATGAATTTGTATCCTTATTAACAAAGAATACTTACTTCTGAAGTGACCTAGTAATAGGAATCATACTTTCTTTCAACTGTAATTTAGAGAAATCATCTTCTGAAGCCTACAATTAAAAACACCAAATATAACAAAATATTAAAAATATAAGTATAAAACTAAATGCTATTTAAAATGTGATTAAAACATTAAAAAGTATTTTCTACATTTCCAAATAATTCTAGCAAATAATTTTCAAGAGAGCATTAAATAGTTGTATGTTCCATTTATTGTAAAAACACTACAACAGCCATTTTTCAACTGTCCTAAAGTATACTTCTACATATACATCCATTAAAAATCAAGTCTTGGCTTAAAATTATGACTTCACTGAACAGGCTTATATCTCAATGATGTTTAAAATGAGAGGGGAAAGGATAGATTACACTCTACATATTAACATTATGATTATTAGAATGTAAGGACAGAAATTAAGAAACACAACTCAAATGTGCAAGCTGTGGAGGTTCTCAAAAGCTGATCAACTCATTTGTAATGAAAACTAAATTTCATAAATCTACTGAATAACAATAAAACAATGACAATAAAAAGAGCCATCATTTATTGAACATTTACCACGTACCAAGCACTACAGTAAGTACTTTATACAGTTTGTCTCAATTTATCTTCTCAACAACCTCACTGTACAGAAAAGGAAATTGACACATGAAATAAGCCCAGCACAGAAATAGAGATACTGAATAATAATCTCACTTATATGTAGAATCCGGGTGTGGGGACAAGGAGTTGCAGAGATGTTTGTCAACGAAAACAACATTTCAGTTAGGCAAGAAGATTAAATTCAAGAGATCTATTGTACAACATGGTGACTAAAATTAATAAAATGTCATATACTTGAAAATTACTAACAGAGTAGATTTTACATGTTCTCCACAAAAGTATGAGAGGTAAGTAGCTTCCCTAGTGATTCCATGATGTTTCAAAACATCATGTTGTACACCAAATATATATATATAATTTGTCAATTAAAAATAAATAATTTTTTAAATAGGAAACTGAAACTAGAGAGGTTAAATAATTTGCACAAATACTGCACTTGCTAGTAAGTGACAGAATTTACAATCATATTTGGGAAAACAGAAACCCTTATGTTCTTAAACACTACACTTTTGTGGGAAAAAAGTTTATCATATAGAATGGCAGTCCAAAACAGAATGAAATTTTCAAATTCCCAGAAAATACACAAATTGAAAAAATAAAAAGGCCCTAAAGTAAAACTTGATATAATTGTATTTATAACAGCCAATAAACACATGGTAACAAAATTAAATTTCAAATGACAAAGGAGTGTGGAGAAATCTAACACTGAAAAAGTTTTCGGCTGGGCGTGGTGGCTCATGCCTGTAATCCCAGCACTTTGGGAGGCCGAGGCGGGCAGATCACAAGGTCAGGAGATCGAGACCATCCTGGCCATGGTGAAACACTGTCTCTACTAAAAATATAAAAATTAGCCGGGCATGGTGGTGTCTGCCTCTAGTCCTGGCTACTCGGGAGGCTGAGGCAGGAAAATTGCTTGAACCCGGGAGGCGGAGGCTGCAGTGAGCCAAGATCGTGCCACTGCACTCCAGCCTGGCGCCTGGCGACAGAGCAAGACTCTGTCTCAAAAAAAAAAAAAAAAAAAAAGAAAAGAAAAAGTTTTCTAGGCCTCCCCAAATATAACTACCAGAAGATGGGTCATATAGATTAATTTTGTAGATCATTAAAAAACAACTCTTACAGCCCTTTCATACTATAGTTGTAACATCATCATAACTAAGATGTTGGATTTATAACCATAAGTTAAATAGAAAAATCTATTTAGAGACAAACACCTATAGAAATCAAACAGAATTAAATGTGAGCAAATTACTTCCTAAAAAAAAGAAGACTACTGCCACTTACAACATGTGTTATATCACATACTTACTAACATAAAACTATGTCTATAAAAAGATGTAAAAATCTTATACAAATTCACAAATCTCAATTCATGAATTATATTTGTTCTTACTTGTTTAATCTCTTCTTTTGGCTCTGTGGTCTTATTTTGATTAAAACTTTCTTGTACTGCTTGAAGATTAAATAACATTTGTTTCAGGGCTTCAACAGGACCATGATGTTTGCCTCCAGAAAGAGTACAACTCTAAGGTTAAAATAGACGATAGTATAAAGTTAATCAACCAAACTCAGGGGAAGAAGAGTTTTATTTTGCATTATTTTCCCATAATAGAAAATTAATGTAAAAATCCAAACAATACATGTCAATAAAGTATTTTAAAAAATCAAAATTGTAATTCACCACTTCCCCATCCCCAGGCCCCAGGTGAAGTTACTTAGAGACAATCATGATTAACAGTTTAGCATATCCTTTCTAGTCATTGCTCTTTTAAAATAAATAGCACAAATTTATATTAATGACAAATTCATTTAGCACATGTAAAATCACAAATTTTTAGAACTGAAAAGGTCTTCAGAGGACAGATAAACCAACATGTTCTTTCCAGTTTGTCAGGGACTAGAATTTCAAATATAGCAACCTCTGCACACTTTCAAATATGTTTTCATGTACAGAATGCTAGCTTTTCACCCCTTCATGGCACATACATTCCTTCTACCTCAATAACACTCATAGCTTGATTACCGCTGACCTTATTTGTGTTCAAAGGATGCAACAGTACTTAAGATACATAAGGTGGTCAGGATTCTTTTAAGATAATAAGTGAGGGATACTTAAAATTTCTTTTTAAAAGTCTTACCAGTCTATTATTTTACATCTTTCAAATGAGTTTCTGTGCCCTAATAACTTATCTACCAAGTAGCAAATAGGCCTCTACAGATGTCTGTAATTTAACATATTTCAGCATAGACTGTGCACCATAAGTACGACTTAAACTTCAATTCTATAGAAAGTTGTTGATTAGCATAAGGTACTCCAGGTAAGCAGTATGGCTAAAAAGATTTTAAAGACATTTCCATAGTTATATGAACAGGATATAAGAAACAGGGAGTGAAAAGGTAAAATGCTATAGCCATTGTGGAAAACAGGACAGGAATTCCGTAAGAAATTAAACACAGAATTACTGAATGATCCTACAATTTCCCTTCTAGGTATATATCCAAAAGAAGTGAAAGCAGGGACTCGGGTAGATATTTGTATACCCATATTTACAGAAAATTATTCACAATAGCCAAAAGATGGACACAACCCAAGAGTTCAACAACGGATGAATGAATAAACAAAATGTAGTACATACATACAATGGAATATTATTCAGTCTAAAAACTAAAGGAAATTTTGACTAATGCTATAACATAGATGATCTTTAAAGATAATATGCTAACCAGAGTAAGCCGGTCACAAACAAGGTACATATATAACGATTCTTCTTCCACAAGGTTCCTACAGTAACAACTCCATAGGGGCAGAAAGTGAAAAGCTATTTGTCAGGGGCTGAGGAGGGGGAAATAGGGAGTTAGAGTTTAATGAGTACAAAGTTTCAGTTTGAGAAGATAAAAAAGTTTGGAAAATGGACTATAGTGGTAGCTACACACAAAGTGAAGGTGCTTAATGCCACAGAACTACACACTTAAAAATGATTAAAATGGTAAATTTTAAATTTTATGTTATGTATAGTTTACCATAACAAACTAAAAACATTTTAAAAAGAAAAAAAAAAAAGGGTAAAAGGATCCAGTTAGGCATATACTCCTACACCCTTGGAGATAGTATCCGAAGTATAATCTCCAAATAATCGGCATCCAGCCACTATTTTATTTTAGAACTTCGGCTGCTTAGGCCAACCATAATAGTTATAAAAGGCTGCCTCTGGAATTTATGTCTGAGTTGAGTGACTTTTCATGCAAAGCAGTGGTCAGAGTATCAAAGAAGACAGAAAACTAGAAAACATATAAACTGTGTCAATGTTAATGAATGTTTTAAAAAATATTGTAAAACCTCCTAATAAATGTCTCTGGGTACATCTCTGAATATCTCCAACTCTTAGAACCTTAGTGACATTTCATACATTCAAAAAAAATGATTTCAACCAAACAGAACATGAGGAGAGCCCAATATATAGTCATCCCTAGTTTCTTGGGAGACTGTTTCCAGGACCCTGTGTGAATATCAAAATAAATCACAAGCCAAGATACTATATCCAGCAAAGCTTTCCCTCAGAAATGAAAGAGAAATAAACTTTCTTACATAACCAAAACCAACAGAATTCACCACTACTAGACGAGACTTACAAGAAATTCTCAGGGGAATTCTACATCTGGAAGCAAAAAGATGATAATAACCATCATGAAAACACATGGAAATATAAAACTTACTGGTAGAGCAGATACGCAAAGGAAAAAGAAAAGAATCAAACACTACTACAGAAAACTACCAAACCATAATGATAAACAATATGAGGGGAAGAAAGAACATACAAACAACCAGAGTACAGTAAACAAAATGACAGGAATGCATCCTCACCTATCAATATTAACCTTAAATGTGAACAAATTGAATTCCCTACTTAAAATTTGAGATGAACTTCCTGAATGGATAAAAATAACATTGTTCAACTATATGTTGCCTACAAAGAAACTCCATTCACCTTTGATGATACACACAGACTTAAAGTGAATGGATGGAGAAAGATACTCCATACAAGTGGCAACCAAAAGCAAGGTGGAGTGACTTTACTTATATGAGACAAATCAGACTAAGTCAACAACTGTAGAAAGAGACAAAGAAGGTTGTTATTATGGTTTAAGATTTCATATTACGACTTACCTTTAAGAAATAATCACTTGTTGAATATAAATTAGTATTATTCGCTATGGACCTTTTTTTTTTTTAACTCCTGAACTCAAATAATCCTCCAACCCTGGCCATCCAAAGTGCTGGTATTACAGGTGTGAGCCACAACACACAGCCAGACACAGTAAAACAGTATGAAGATTCCTCAAAAAATTAAATATAAAATAGAACTACCATATGATCCAGCAATCCAACTACTGGGTATATATCCAAAGGAAATGAAATCAATATGTCAAAGAAATATCTGCACATCCATGTTCACTGCATTATTCACAACAGTCAAAATGTAGACTCAACATAAGTATCCATCAACAGATAGAAGGGTAAAGAAAATGTAACACGTATATACAACAGTATATTATTCAGTCTTCAAAAAGAAAGAAATCCTGTCATGTGTGACAAAATGTATGATTCTGCAGGACATTATGTTAGGTAAAATTAACTAGGTGCAGAAAGATAAATATCATAGTTCTCACTTATATGGGAAAGCTTACTAGCTGATCTCACAGAAGTGGAGAGTAAAATAGTGGTTCCTGGAGACTGGGAAAGGTAGGAGGGAGGTAAAGAATAGGGAGAGAGAAAGTCCTAAACACTAGGACTTATTTCTCCTATCTAGCTATAATTTTTTTATATATTAAAATTATGTACAATTTTAATATATAAAAAATTTCTGTTAGTTTATTGTAGATTCTTTTGGATTTTGCATATACACCATCATGTCTTCTAATAATAATAATTTTATTTATTTCCAATTTCTGTTATTTTTTTCTTTCATCTTTTTTCTTTCTTTCCAATTCTTTCCCTTCAGAAATGAAAGAGAAATAAACTTTCTTATTTCTACTATCTAGCTACAATTTTTTATATATTAAAATTTTATATAATTATATAACTTTTATATATTAAAAATAAATTATAAATTGTTATATATTAAAAATTATATAAAAATTATCTTATACAGCCGGGCGCAGTGGCTCACGCCTGTAATCCCAGCACTTTGGGAGGCCGAGGCGGGTGGATCACGAGGTCAAGAGATCGAGACCATCCTGGTCAACATGGTGAAACCCCGTCTCTACTAAAAACTACAAAAAATTAGCTGGGCATGGTGGCGCGTGCCTGTAATCCCAGCTACTCAGGAGGCTGAGGCAGGAGAATTGCCTGAACCCAGGAGGCAGAGGTTGCGGTGAGCCGAGATCGCGCCATTGCACTCCAGCCTGGGTAACAAGAGCGAAACTCAGTCTCAAAAAAAAAAAAAAAAAAAAAAAAAAAAAAATTACCTTATATTTAAAAAATTTTATATATAAAATTATAGCTAGATAGGAGAAATAAGTCCTAGTGTTCTAAAGCAATATCAGCTGACTATAACCAACAATAAATTATCATTTATTTCCAAATACCTTAAAGACAGGATTTTAAATGTTCCCAACACAAAGAAATGATAACTATTTGAGATGACGGATATGCAAATTACTCCAATTTGATCACTATATATTCATGGTTTATCACATCACCATGTATCCCATAGACATGTATGGTTATTATGTGTTAATTTAAAAATTTAAAATATTATAAAAAATAATATGATCAATAATTCTGAGAGGAATGATGTGTATTTGAGGAGATGATTTGAGTCTTTTTTTGCTTTAAATTATCTAAGTAACTTAAGAATATCTACATATTATTCATAAATCTTTTAATAAGTTTTAAAACTTTTAATTTCACCCACCTGATTATCATTTAGAAAGTCTTCAAGAACTCCTTTAGCACTCTTTGCCCTTGAAGTTTGTTGAGGACCATCATCAGAGTTAACAGGAACAGGAGATTTGCTAAAGAGGAATTAAAGGATGCAAGATAGCAATTAAGTTCCCAATTTCTAAAAAGTAAACAGTATACAATTTAAGAATTCTCATTTATGTACAAGTAGGTACCAAGAAATAATCATCATGGATGTGATTAATATTAATGTTGTATGGTAATTCCCTCATCTTCTCCCTAAACTGATACCAGAATCCAACCCCTTATCCCTCTGCTTCTCTCTTCAAGCTTTGAGAAAACACTATGAAGAAACTGAAGATATTAGTATTCAGCTAAATAAGCCCTGAACTACAGACTATGCTCCAAAAGCTCACCTTGTTTGAAATAAAGAGTACATTTTTCCAATTAACATTGTTACCAGATAATAACCAAAAACCCCACAAACTCATAAAAGTTTTAACTAGAATGGTAGTTACAACTCCTACTTGAAGCAACAGAACAGACTTCGCCTTTATAACTGGTATTAACATAAAGGACAGATTATTCTGAGAAAAGAATTCTGAAATTAACATTCCTGCATGCAATCTTAGTCCCATTCACTGTATGACCTTAGGTAATTTATCTGAATTTCAGTTTCAACAATTGTCATCCCATCTATCTCATAGACACATTGCATAAACTAACTGAATTAATTTTCTATGTACCTAATACATTTAATAGATAATAAATACCCATTTATTTCCTCATATTCAAGGGGCAGTAGAGGAAAGGGTATCTCCAGCAAAAACAAGAATGTCCCCAGAATCAAATTCTATTAAGTCACAAAAATGAATTCAATCTATTTCTCTCTTATTCATATATTACTATAAGGTGTGTAATTCAAGAACTCAGATATCTAAGAATCTTTTTTTAACATTTACACAATGCTAATGTTTTTATTTAACAAGTATGCTTCTTTATTGACATATTTGATTTCTAATTTACAAGCCCTTTCATACTATCAGGTACTCCTTTCCCCCATTCTTTGCCAATACTTTGTATATCCACTGTCCGTTATTAAAAAACATTTACCAGATTGTTAAAGATGGGTGGAGGGTACATAGGGGTTCATTACACTATTTTTCAACTTTTGTAATTTATGTTAGCTTTTCCATAATAAAAAGTTTTTTTAGAAAAAGCAATGATCTGGTTGTGGTTTTGCTCTACCACTTAGAATACTGCCTTGAGTACTTTCTATTCAATTTTGTTTTTGATGACAGGTTTACAATAATTTGTCAATCTCAAACTGAGATCTATTCCTTGTCAGCAATTCATCACTAGTTTTATCTACAAATATACCCATCACAATATAAATTCAGTCTTCCAAAAGTGAATTATTATATGTAAGGTACTGAGCCAATCTATTGATAATATTAATCATACAAGCTAGAAGTTACATTATCAAATTATAAAATATATTAATTGCATTCAAAAAATTTAAGCACCTCTGATACTACTTGCTTGCCCATTTTGGTTCCAATTAAAAGAAAAGTATTGCAGCTATGATACTTTATTAACACACAAAACAAGTGATAAAATAAGCAACTAGGAAACAAGAAAAATAAGACAAGTATTACGTGAACTTGTTAACAACTCAAGTTTAAATATATATGTTGTTGAAACAACTGGAGAAATGAAGCTAAAAGGAGAAAATAAAATATTCTAGATAATCATCACCACTACTAAAATTTATGAGTGCTCATCTTAGTTCAGAAACTTCATATTCATTTTCTGTTGAAAATAATCTTTACAACAACCCTGAAGCAGACATTATTTCTCCATCTTTAAAGTTTAGAGAAGTCAAGTAAATTGTACAAAGCCATACAGCAAGAAAGTGGCAGAGGTAGGCTTCTAAATTAGAATTATAGTCAATCTCTACATTCTGAAAAGAGACAATCAACTGAGAATAAAAAACGAATCTAGGAACTGATAGACTCTGTCTATAACAAAACGAAAGTGTAGACAACTAAAGATAATAAATTATCAGAGCCTAAGGCATGATATGGGGTTAGCAATAATGTATTTCTGGTAAAAAACAAACAAAAAAAGTATCATCATTTAAGGAAAACAACTAAAAGGGAAAGTAAAATGTAAATAAGAAATTTATAACTCTATTATATGGAGAGGAAAAACTTAAAGTTAGAAGAAAATAACACAAATTTTATACTACTCTGCAAAATGATTTTTTCTGGTTTTAATTCCTCATATTAAGATGCTTATCAATACTTTATAATGAAACAAAATGAACATGTAACAAAGACAGATGTTATATAACATACCTAAGGTTATGAAACATTACACCATCTTGTGGTAATAATGAAAAATGCAATGGTAATAATGAAAAATGCAATTTAAAGCAAATAACACAAAGCTATGTTCCATGGAATTACAATATTATTACCATTCATTTAAATATAAATCAGATATTCATGACATTTTTCACTTGGAAAACTAAATAGTTTTTCCATTGTCACTTACTTACAAAGTAACAGGAATGTTTTCCCATGATCTTTCTGCTTCAAGTTTATCTAATGAGCAAGGACTGTCATCCTGTTTCATAGACTTTGGTAATTCTTTAGTACACTGCTCTAGATTTCTCTTGGCCTTCAAGATAAGCAATTCAATTTTGTCACCTAATTTTAAAAGATGACTATTAGTCCTTGAAGAAAAAAGTTAATACAAAGCATAACAAAATCTCACAAACAAGTCAAAATTCTGATAATCTGGAATGTATATTCATCTATAACAGCAAATTAAGATGTGACATTTCAAGCAAAGAAAAAAGTGGGAGAAAAGACATTTGAAGATTATAAGCATTCTAAAAAGATTAAATAAAAACAAAACATAAAAGCTCCCAGATATTACCTCAACTTTACAGCACTTCTTTTGGTTTAAAAAAAGAATAAAACTGTAAGCTATAAACAAAGTATTACCACTGAACGGCTGTGTGGATTGTCCTGGGAGAAGCGGATTCTCACATTGACACTGGCTATGTTCAAAATCACATTTGTATTCATTAACTAATTCTTTATCATCACTCAAGGAATTTGAAAACTTTGAGGGTTCAAAAGAATATTCAAAATCTAATTTATTAACAAGCTGAGAAGTTCCTTGTGCCTGATGACTACGTCTAAGGGGACACTGATCATCTTTAAATATTTTATAAACCCTTTGACTATTTGCATCAGGTAGCAAATCTTGATTGTGGAGCCAGACAGGGTATTTGAAATCAGGTATACTGGTTATCCCTGAAACATTAAGGTCAGATTTCTGGCTAGTGAGCCATCTTGGATAATTCTTTTCAAGACTGTGTTCTGAACTGTCCTGGAAAGACGATTTCTTGCAATTATTAGTCCTATTGATAAGTTTTGGGTTTTTCAGCCTACCAAATTGCTTTCCATTTATATTTGTGCATACAGCAGGAGTAACTAAGTTATCTTTGTCCATGGGAGTGGAGGGTCCTTGAAAATTTGGATTCTTTTCAGTGTCCAATGAACCCAGTCTTCCATGGCATTTCTTGTTTTTCTTCCTCGTTCGGTGACTTGGTCCAACATAAGTAAAAGAAAATGATCCATCTGCTGGGAGTCTTAATAGATCATCAGTTGTTAGGCTCATAGAGTCTATGTCATTAGTAGTCTGTCTTTTATAGGATATGAAGTTTGAGTGCTTTTTGCGATCAAGGTTTTCAAAAGCTGAAAAACAAAGAACAGTTCTGTTTATTATATACAAATATTTTACAATATCCAACAGTAAATGAGAATTAAGAATTTGAGTCATTTTTCTGCTTTCCCCTTATCCTCACTAAAGCTTTAAAAGCATAAAAGGCATAGGTTGATAAAATAGGATGTGCTTTCTTTCTCACATGATTTTTCAATGTGTTACTTAATTTCTACATGTTTCTCTCCAACCTCCTGAATTTTCCTGTTCTCTAATTTATTGTTTCTTCAACTTTTTTTCATCTAGACCTAACTGATACACAAATACAATCACAGTAACATTGGTCACTCAATACTGACTGCAGCATAGAAAAAATATGCTATTAAACTAGGTGGAAAAATAACTTGCTCTATCACATACAAACCCTTCAGTGGCATGGATTACAGAGAGGACAGCTGTTCTAATTCCCTTCTTCTGGAATATATTGACCACATCTAAGTGCAGAATACAAACTTCTTCCATTCTAGGATCATTCTGTAAGTGTTCAGTAAAGTAGTAATTGACTTATTAACAACTGCATTTTCCAAACTTGTCTTCAAGGAAGCTTTATTATGGACAAACTCTTAACATCTTGTGAATATTACTGTTCCAAACAGAATTATATAATCATTTTACAAAAACACCCAGATCCCAATACTATAATAGTTATTTTTACTCCAAAATAACAAAAATAATGTCAAGCTGTACAATACCACAGTACATCTATCAAATGCTTCAAAACATCTGAACATAAATAAAACATAAAGAACAAAAGCATACCATTGTTTGGTTTGTAACTATAGTTGAATTGTGGCGTATTAGTAAAACCCTCATCAATGTTAATTTTTCCAGTGCTTGCACCAGGGTACATTTGGCTTAAATCAAAATCATCAATATAAGCCTGTAGAGCTTGAGAAGCAGATCTGTAGAGCTTATCTTTATAGTGAAAAGAGCCATCAGAATTAGAGGAATTACTACCACTCAGGCTGCAACTTGCCAGCAGCGAAGATACTGAAGATTCCCGAGAACAAAGTCTATGTTTTGTGTTTGATTTTGCCATGGCTTCTTCAAAGTGGATTATTTCTATTCATTTCCCTTAAAAATAACTGTAATAAAAAAACAAAATGTTAAGGTGCCATTAAAAATAGTGACCATATACAAACAAAATTACTAAATATTTCAACCTTTATAATTTTCTTTAAAGAATAAAAGCTATTATCTATAACAGACACTCCTTGTTAGGAATTGTAGATTTTTTGTTGCCTTTATTATTGTGAATTCCTTAATCAATGATTTAGAAAACATTTTCTGAGTACCTACTATGTGCCTAGAAGTATGTATACAAAAGTTATCTGAGAATATACATGGAAAATACCAAGGAAAGAGTACTTACTTTTTAAAAAGTCCTAAAAACTACTTATGAACAGTCTTTTCAATCCTGGTGATATATTCTATGACATCACAATACCTAAAATTCCCCTATACATAACAGTTTTCAAATCATAAGCCTACCACCATGTGCCGCAGATAATAGTATTCAACAAAATTTTTAAAGCCATCAAATGAAGTATTCAAAACAAGAAGTCACAATGGAGAATATTCACTTTCAATGTTATAAACACTAGTATATTTTCAACATTTAAATCCATAAATAAACTGCAGGTCTTATGCAGGAAAATGAGCTAGCAATATGTACTTTTCCTAAAATAGTTAATAATCATTTCCTGACCTTGGTTTTTGGTACCACCCTCCGTATTTTCAATTCTTACATTAAATAGATTCAGTTCACTTCTTTTAAAGGAAGCATAAATAATGTGAAAATCAACTCAATGTATTGTTCTTACTGTTTTTACATTATTGAGAGAATCCCTGTCCACCTCAGTACAGTAGTAGGATGTATATTTGAAAAACCTAAGAAATAACAGAATAAATCGGCATTCAGTCCATGATATGACATTCTTTTTAAAATTAAATCAATAGATTTCCTATACTAAAAAAGGATTAATTTTGATGACTTAACAATGCTATGATGTTATAATGTTTAATTTTTGGCTACAATTTTAGAAATATTTAAGTTATAAAAACTTTTAATGTAATCTTAGTAACTGTTAAAATTTGGCTTTAAAATATCCAGTTTTCTAATTAAATAAGAGACAGAGTAAAACGTCATCCTACCACAGCGTTAGAGCATGCAATGGCCATTATAAGAGATGTGACCTTGGTCAGTGCAAATGGCAGAACATAAGGTAACAGTTATTTAGCCTCATTGATTTCTCTGAATGCTGACATACTGGCATATCTCTGACGAATGGCTAAACTAAGCCAGCTTTACACTTTCCATATCCCTTTTTTTTAAAGAAGTTTAAATTCACTCAGGTAAATGTATTTGGATAAGCCTGGCCAAAGGTTTTCTCTCCTTGAATGCATAACAGACTACTGATTTTATTTTACAAAACCTTAAAAGAGAAAGCGGTTGTATTGGTCTCCTTAAGTGGTGATACCATTTACTAGATATTTCAACTCAAAGGACGGACAAAAAGAAAATGTAGAATTTACGTTTTATTATGGAAAGTTTTCAAACTTTTCCCCCCAAAAAAAGAATGCAAAAGTAGAATTGTTCAATAAACCCCTATGCACTCAACAACCTGCTTCCAACAATCACTGAACATACCCCAATCGTGGCTGAAGTGGGGAGAAGTGGGTGAAGGTACGGTATTGTAGATTATTTATCTTTATTATTGTGAATTCCTTCATCAATGATTTAGAAAACATTTCTGAGTATCTATTATGGTATGGTACCCACCCACTTCCCCCTACTTCAGCCACAGGATTATTTTGAACCCCACATATCTCATACAAATTCCATTTATCTTACCATTTCCTCCGTATAGGCTTCAGTTCGAATCTCCAAAAGAAAATTCATCACGCAGAAGAACAGAATGTTAAACTTACTGACAAGAAATTTCAACTACCTTTGATTCAAAAACAGAACGTTCAGTGTTAAATGGCCAATGGGAATATCACACAGGAAATTAAAACAACTCTTGGAAATAGCTCTGTGACTGCTAAGTTAGGAAAGGGAATGTTTGTTCATCCGGCAGCATAACGCCAGGAACCCACGGACCCTGCACTGCGCATCTTTCCCCTACCCAGGGCGCGGTGGGTTCCAACGTCTCCAGCCACATCCAGGAGACACCCTCTCTTTAGAGTTCCACCAGCCGTTAGTTACAGACGGAGACAAGGTCTTCAATGAGATGCTTTTGACTCGGAAACCATTTATTCAGCAGCCAGGGCGACCGCCGCAATGGACGGACGGAGAAGTGTTCGAAGGCGACCGCCCCAGAGCGCAAGCCCCTACCGGTCGCCACCTCAGGTCCCCAGATGGCCCTATCAGGCCCCTTCGCGGCGTCCCGGGACCCTTCCTCGCCCAAGGGGCACTTCCCCTACAGTGTTCTTCTTCCACATAGATTCCACACGCGACCTCCCTCAGGAGATGTCTCCTTCTCTTTCCTCGCCACCCCCACTTCGCCTCTTCTCGGCTGTCACAGTATGGGACACCCCTCGAAAAGATACCCTCCTTTCCGGCCTAACTCATCCCTAATGCCCCAAAATTTAAAAAAAAGAAAGAAAGAAAAAAGAAAACGCACACTTCCACAGCTCTCCGCCGCAAGCCCAGGCCTGTTACCCGAAGCGAGACACCACAAAGCATCCCCAACGCAGACACCTCCCCGCCTCAGGCTCGGCTCACTCGTAGCTTCCTCCGCCGTCACCGCGCAGCTCGACGCCCGCGCTCGCTTTCAAACCGCCCCAACATGGCGCCGGCCTGCGGTGCGCATGCGCGGCAGTGGTGCCCCGGGCGCGGGGCGCAAACAGAGGCGTGGAAGCGGCAGGGTCACTGAAGAGGATGCTGTGGGGCGTTATGTCGCGACCCCTGCTGGGAGGTGCAGTTTCTCCCCCTTTCTGGGGCTGGGAGGAGCGGATCTGGGCTGCGACCTAGTCGCTGCCCCCCAAGCTCTCCAAACCTCCGCTACAGCTATTCTCGGCCAGTTTGCTTCGGCCGGCCCCGGGGTTTGCGGGAGGGGACTAGGTGAGGAGGGAGACTTCAGGGCGCTGGCGGCGGTCGTTCCGGTCGCTGAGAGCCCCACAGCTCCAGTCCTTCCAAGTGAGCTCAGCCTCCCCACTTTCAGAGCATCCCCTCCCAAAAATAAGACACCATCTCAGCTAATAGGCAGCTCCCCTCACCGCTTCTTTCGCTCACTCTTCAGCGCCTCTCCTATCGCACCCCGGAGCCTCTCACACACAAAGCAGATGGGAGATCGGAGAGCAGATTTTGGCCAGGGATGGGATTTAACAAACTCCTTGGAAGCCTTGATTCCCGGGGAAGAATGGCAGTGACCCAGCATGGACTGGGCACCCAGTCAGGCAGCCCAGAAAGAGGGACATTATACAAACAGATGTAAAGACCTACTAACAACAGGTGTGAACGTATCTACAAAGCTGGAAAGAATCCAGTTTCAACCAAGTGGTGTATCAGAAAAAGAGGCCATCCAATGTTGGTTTATGTTTATTTTCCACTGACCCTATCCTTGACCATGTACATCTAAATATGTTCCAGCTCATGCGACGTTCCGTCACCAGGTAATACAACTGTTTGTGCTTTCTTCTTTTTACCCTTTGTAGCCTACTAAATTTTACCTTACTTTTTCTCTTACCAAATGAAAAAGTCCAGAAGCTATAAGGTTCAGTTTAGTGGTTCAATTAAACACAGGTCTATGTGGCAGTAATAGTTAATGATTTGAAAATAAGACATACCCTGCTAGTGGTACGTTCCAATAATCTTCAAAGTCTCTAGATCTATTAATATCAAGTAGGTTTCTAAAAGGAAATCAAGAACGGTGTTTTATATGCTAATACAAGAACTGGTCCGGGATTAAACAAGGATCGTTAATGACATGAGCTTAAAAAGTTAGATTTTTGTATCCATGTTTCACCTAAATGTCTTTTTAAACTGATTTTCTTCAAAACCATTTCTTAAAAATTATTTTTATAAACAGTATTTTTTAAAGTTTTTCACACTGTCTTTTTCTTTCATCTTGGTACATATATATAGCAAATGTTTCCTAATGAAGACAGTATAGATAAAAGACATTGAGAAAGATATAAAGGAAATTATCAAATATATTTACCTAATTCATGGATCAAAATAATTCTACTTCTGCCTTGTTTCCTCACAGGTTAAGAGATATGGAGATTTCCACAAGGATTTGGAAGGGATCCCCAAAAGTTACTAAAATTCTGGATTAGCTCTGTCAGGAAAAGTAAAGAAACTAGGACTCTGCTAGGAAAGAGAAGGAGGTTATAATAATGGTTTACTAAAACTTTTCAAATATAGAGGCTCTCAAGTACTTGTTGTGCCTTGCTGGAGAATTAAATAAGAGAAAATAGATCTACGATCCAACCTGAAGAGTTTTAGGTGAGAGGTAAGGAAGAAATGTTCCAATAATTAAACTTTAATAAAGTTTGTTTAAGTGCTAAGGAGGCAGGTCTTTGGAGAGTTTTTTAAATGATGGATTTACATGTGTCCATTTTGTAAAGAGAAACTAACCATTTTGTTATCCCAGTATAGGACTTCACACTGTTTCAAGCATTTTTACATATATTAATTCAATCCTTATAATAATTCAGTGAGATAGATATTGTTATCCTCATTCTATAGATTTAGAAATTGAAGTTCAAAGGTTAAGCAATTTACTCAAAATAATATAGCTGGTACTAAGTGACAAAGTCAGCATTTGAACCCTGCTCTGTGTTTTCACCTTACCTGCCAGCTTCCCCTAACCGAAAGCAGGATAATGAGCAAAGGACCAGTGAGACTACAGCTTCCTGAACTCATTCACAGAAGAAATAGTATCTAATATCTTTCCCGACTGTTGCTACACTTACAACAGTGCTTGTCTCAGTCCTTTTGGGCTGTTATAAGAAATTACCAAAGACTGAATGACTTGTAAACAGTAAATTTAATTCTCACAGTTCTGGATCCTGGAAGTCTGAGATCTGGGTGGCATTATGGTTTGGTTCTGGTGAGGGCCCACTTCTAGTTACAGACTGCTGACTTCTGGCAGTGTCCTCACATGGCAGAAGGGGCCAGTGAGCTCCCTGGGGTCCCTTTTGTGAGGCCACTAATCCTATTCACAAGGGCTTTGCCCTCATGACCTAATCATCTCCTGATATCACCTTGGGAGTTAGGATTTCAACATATGAATTTTAGAGAGACATAAACATTCAGTCCATTGCAGTTTCTAAATTCAAGTAGAGTTCAGTCAATGTGTTTAAATTGAGTTGATTTAAACTTGATCCTATCTGAGGAGGTGGCAGTTAAGCAAAGATACCTATGAAACAGTCAGTCATGTGAACACATTGGAGAAGAAGGTGACAAGCAGAAGAAACAGCAAGTACAAAGAACCTGAGGTAGGAAATTGCTTGATTGTATTTGAGGAACAGCCAGGAGATCAAATGATTGGAGCTAGGTGAACAAGAAGAAGACTGGTAGGAGGTATATTTGAAGAGGAAGCCAGGGGTCAGATCACTTAGTGCCACTGCTACTCACTTTAAAAAGATTAATCCTTAAGAAAACATAACCAACAGATCGTGATGCTTCATAAGAGAAAGGAAGCATGATTAATCTGTTAGAAATTAGAATTATTTATTGAATAACTATCATCCAGGCACTGGGGTAGAACCTTAAGCATATCATCTCATATAATGCTCACACTAATTCTACAAGGTAGATATTATCCTAATTTTGTACCTTGAGAAAAATGGAACACCAGAAATATTAAGTAACATGCTTCACACAATTAATAGGTGGCAGAGACAAAATATGACCCAGGTTTCTGATTCCACAGTCTAGATTTTTCTACTGTACCACAGTTTCTCATTTGAAAGACTGTAAGGAGAGAGGGGTTCATGCATACATGCATTCAGCAAATAATTATTCATTTATATGTGACAGGCACTATAGAAATAATATTAAAATGTAAGATAGCACTTAAGTTTTTATATGATTATACTCTAATCAGTTGTTTTTAAAACTTTGCAGATAGATGGACTATAAGGCAATTGCCCAACAAACGGCCCAAGAAGTTTTAGGCTATAATCAAGATACATCAGGCTGGAAAGTGGTTAAAACTTCAGTAAGAAAATAAATTAAATTATGTTTTCATAGTTTGTTTTTAAATAAGAAAAAATTCATTGTAAAGACTTTTATTTAAAAAAAAAATTCTGTGCCAGGTGCAGTGGGGTGCACTTATAGTACCAGCTACTCAGGAGGCTGAGACAGGAGGACCACTGGAGGCCAGGAGTTTGAGGCTGTCATGCACTATGATTGCGCCTGTCAATAGCCACTACTCTCCAGACTGGGCAACATAGTGTGGCTCTATTCTGAAAAATATATATACATAGTTTTAAATTTATTTTTTTACAAACCAGAAAAAAAATCTTTTTTAATTTGTGTTAGTTTTTCATTTTCGTTTTAATGCATTTGACAGCTAATTATTTGTGGATTTTTATTCCCCTTTGAGAAAAAGATAACTGTTTCCAGTAAGCCTTCTAGAAAATTCCATGGAAATCTGTGAGTACAATTTTCTATTTATAATTACTGTTTTAACTTCAATGGCATTGTATCTGGAATTTCAGTGCTGCTTTATTAGCTATAATAAATTATTTTATAGTAATAAATAGAAATTATTAAGTCACTAGGTTGAAAAAAATGTGATATTAGTAAAATATAGCAATTAGATACCATCCAATCTTCTATTTCCAAATCTGATGACAATCAGATAAAAAAAAAATCCCTTCTAATTACTAATTCACTAAAACAGGAAATTTCTACTTCAAGAAATAATTACTATAAAAGCAGATTGGTATTTTCTTGCTAACAATATATTTTATGGAGTTTAAAACCCTTCACCTGTCCATTAAATGAACCACTAAAAAGTAAAGTTTATTTCTTCATTTTATTTTGTTTTTTTTGAGACAGGGTCTGGCTCTGTCACTAGGCTGGAGTGCAGTGGCGTAATCTCAGCTCACTGCAACCTCTCCCTCCTGGGCTCAAGCAGTCCTTCCACCTCTGCTTCCTGAGTAGCTGGGACTACAGGCACACACCACCATGGCCAACTATTTTTGTATGTTTTTGTAGAGATGGGATTGCGCAGGCTGGTCTCAAACTCCTAGGCTCAAGCAATCTGCCTGTCTTGGCTTCCCAAAGTGCTGGAATTACAGGCATGTGCCACTGTGTCTGGCCTACTTCCTCATTTTAAATAAAATATGCATTTTTTTCTATATACTGCTTTTAAATAGTTTTAAAGATCATATTATTTCAAATTACAAGTACACTAAGGGAAAGTATGTTGACTTTTTTTAGTTTTATTTTTCAGAGTTCGTTTATTGCTCCAAGGCCATCAGATCATCATAAATTTCATTCAATTCCTTTCGGAGTCCATCACAGGTCTCTTACCAGACATTCCCCAGCACCAGCCCAGAGCCTGGTAGCCCCATTGGGTATAGACCCAGAATAACAATAACTGCAATCTGGCTCTCAGGAAGTCCCATTCCTAGAGAAAGGGGGAGGGCACCACGTCAAGGGATCACCCCATGGGACTAGACAATCTGAACAACAGGCTTTTAAGTTCCAAAGCATTCCACTGGAATAGCCTACTCAAATAAAAAGAAAAAAGTAATTCTGGTAATCTGACAAAACAGGTTCTATAACACCTCTTAAAACATACCAGGTCCCCAGAAATGGATCCAAACCAAGAAAAAATCTGTGAATTGCCATATAAAAAATTCAGAATGTTGATTATTAAGCTACTCAAGGAGATACCAGAGAAAGATGAAAACCAACTTAAAGATTTTTTTTATTGTACTTTAGGTTCTGGGGTACATGTGCAGATCATGCAGGATTGTTGCATAGGTACACACGTGGCAATGTGGTTTGCTGCCTCCATCACCCTGTCACCTACATCTGGCATTTCTGTCCATGTTATCCCTTCCCAATCTCCCCACTCCACCAGTGTCCCTCCCTTGTTCCCCCCCAACAGACCCCAGTGTGTGATGCTCCCCTCCCTGTGTCCATGGGTTCTCATTGTTCAATACCCGCCAATGAGTGAGAACATGCAGTGCTTGATTTTCTGTTCTTGTGTCAATTTGCTGAGAATGATGGCTTCCAGATTTATCCATATCCCTACAAAGGACACAAACTCACAGTTTTTTATGGCTGCATAATATTCCATGGTGTATATGTGCCACATTTTCCTTGTCCAGTCTATCATTGGTGGGCGTTTGGGTTGGTTCCAGGTCTTTCCTATTGTAAACAGTGCCACGTGTGTCTTTATAGTAAAAAAATTTATAATCATTTGGGTATATACCCAGTAGTGGGGTTGCTGGATCAAATGGAATTTCTATTTCTAGATCCTTGAGGAAGCGCCACACTGTCTTCCACAATGGTTGAACTAGTTTACACTCCCACTAACAGTGTAAAACTGTCGCTGTTTCTGTACATCCTCTCCAGCATTTGTTGTCTCCAGATTTTTTAATGATCGCCATTCTAACTGGTGTGAGCTGATATCTCAGTGTGGTTATGATTTGCATATCCCCAATAATCAGTGATGATGAGCATTTTTTCATATGTTTCTTGGCCTCATATATGTCTTCTTTTAAAAAGTGTTTGTTTGGATGGGTTTGTTGTTTTTTTCTTGTAAATCTGTTTTAGTTCTTTGGAGATTCTGGATATTAGCCCTTTGTCAGATGGGTAGATTGCAAACATTTTTTCCCATTCCGTTGGTTGCTACTTCACTCTAATGATGGTTTCTTTTGCTGTACAGAAGCTCTGGAGTTTAATTAGGTCCCATTTGTCTATTTTGGCTTTTGTTGCCAATGCTTTTGGTGTTAGTCATGAAGTTCTTGCCTATGCCTATGTCCTGAATGGTTTTGCCTAGGTTTTCTTCTAGGGTTTTTATGGTGTTAGGTCTTATGTTTAAAGCTTTAATCCATCTGGAGTTAATTTTAGTGTAAGGTGTCAGGAAGGGGTTCAGTTTCTACTTTCGGCGCACTGCTAGCCAGTTTTCCCAACACCAGTTATTAAACAGGGAATCCTTTCCCCATTGCTTGTTTTTGTCAGATTTGTCAAAGATCAGATGGTTGTAGGTGTGTGGTGTTGCCTTCAAGGCCTCTGTTCTGTTCCATTGCTTTATATCTCCGTTTTGGTACCGGTACCATGCTGTTTTGATTACTGTAGCTTTGTAGTGTAGTTTGAAGTCTGGTAGTGTGATGACTCCAATTTTGTTCTTTTTGCTTAGAATTGACTTGGCTATGCGGGCTCTCTTTTGGTTCCATATGAAGCTTAAGGTGGTTTTTTCCAGATCTGTGAAGAAGGTCATTGGTAGCTTGATGGGGATAGCATTGAATCTATAAATTACTTTGGGCAATATAGCCATTTTCACGATATTGATTCTTCCTAACCATGAGCATGGAATGTTTTCCCATCTGTTTGTGTTCTCTCTTATTTCCTTGAGCAGTGGTTTGTTGTTCTCCTTGAAGAGGTCCTTTATATCCTTTGTTAGTTGTATTCCTAGGTATTTTATTCTCTTTGTAGCAATTGTGAATCGGAGTTTGCTCATGATTTGACTCTCTGTTAGTCTGTTATTGGTGTATAGAAATGCTTGTGATTTCTGCACATTGATTTTGTATCCTGACAATTTGCTGAAGTTGCTTATCAGTTTAAGGAGATTTGAGGCTCAGATGATAGGGTCTTCTAAATATACTATCATATCATCTGCAAATAGAGACAATTTGACTTCCTCTTTTTCTAATTGAAACCCTTTATTTTTTTTTCTTGCCTAATTGCTCTGGCTAGAACTTCCAATACTATATTGAATAAGAGCGGTGAGAGAGGGCATCCTTGTATAGTGCTGGATTTCAAAGGGAATGCTTCCAGTTTTTGCCCATTCAGTATTATATTGGCTGTAGGCTTGTCTTAAATAGCTTTTATTATTTTGAGATATGTTCCTTCGATACCTAGTTGATTGAGAGTTTTTAGCATAAAGGGCTGTTGAATTTTGTCAAAGGCCTTCTCTGCATCTATTGAGATAATTATGTGGCTTTTGTCTTTGGTTCTGTTCCTGTGGTGGATTATGTTTATAGACTTGCATGTGTTGAACCACCCATGCATCCTCAGAATGAAGCATACTTGATGATGGATAAGCTTTTTGATGTGCTATTGCAATCAGTTTGCCAGTACTTTATTGAAGATTTTTGCATCTATGTTCATCGTGGATATTGGCCTGAAGTTTTCTTTTTTTGTTGAGTCTCTGCGGGGTTTTGGTATCTGGATGATGTTGGTCTCATAAAATGATTTGGGAAGGATTCCATTTTTTTGTATTGTTTGGAATAGTTTCAGAAGGAATGGTACCAGCTCCTCTTTGTATGTCTCATAGAATTCACCTGTGAACCCGTCTGGACCTGGACTTTTTTTGGTTGTTAGGATATTAATAGCTGCCTCAATTTCAGCCCTTGTTATTGGTCTATTCAGGGTTTCAACTTCTTCCTAGTTTAGGCTTGGGAGATTGCAAGTGTCCAGGATTTTGTCCATTTCTTCCAGGTTTACTGGTTTATGTGCATAGAGTTGTTTGTAGTAATCTCTGATAGTAATTTGTATTTCTGTGAAGTCAGTGGTGATATCCCCTTTATCATTTTTTATTGCATCTATTTGATTCTTCTCTCTTTCCTTTTTTATTAATCTGGCTAGCACTCTATTTTTTTATCTTTTCAAAAAACCAGCTCCTGGATTTATTGATTTTTTGAAGAATTTTTTGTGCATCTCCTTCAGTTCTGCTCTGATCTTATTTATTTCTTGTCTTCTGCTAGTTTTTGAGTTTTTTTAACTTGTTCCTCTAGCTCTTTCAATTTTGATGATAGGGTGTCAATTTTAGATCTTTCCTCGCTTCTCTGGTGGGCATTTATTGCTATAAATTTCCCTTTAGACACTGCTTTAAATGTTTACCAGAGATTCTGGTACATTGTGTCTTCATTCTCGTTGGTTTCAAAGAACATCTTTATTTCTGCCTTCATTTCATTGTTTATCCAGTTGACATTGAGGAGCCAGTGTTCAGTTTCCATGAAGCTGTGTGGTTCTGAGTTAGTTTCTTAATTCTGAGTTCTAATTTAATTGGCCTGTGGTCTGAGAGACTGTTTGTTATGATTTCCATTCTTTTTCATTTGCTGAGGAGTGATTTACTTCCAATTATGTGGTCAATTTTAGAGTAGGTGTGATGTGCTGCTGAGAAGAATGTATATTCTGTGGATTTGGGATGGAGATTTCTGCAGATGTCTATTAGGTCCGCTTGGTCCAGATCTGAGTTCAAGTGCTGGATATCATGTTAATTTTCTGTCTCGTTGATATGCCTAATATTGACAGTGGAGTGTTAAAGAAGTCTCCCATTATTATTTTGTGGGAGTCTAAGTCTCTTTGTAGGTCATTAAGAACTTGCTTTATGTACCTGGGTGCTCCTGTATTGGGTACATATGTATGTATGTATATATATATATATGGATCATTAGCTCTTCTTGATACAG